TGGGCCCTCTGCGAACTTTAGCGTTGATCTGGGCACGCAAAACATGGCCCTGATAAGCCCGCTAACATTCTAGGGCTCTTTACTTACAAAAACACCCAAATACAGATACCAATCGGATCACACACCCGCCCTAGACACCCAGGCGAAGCGCTATACCAGGCCGAGAGTTGTCTTCTTGCCTCTCAGCCGGGAATGAAGGAATGGATGATCCCTAATCCCCGAACCCATCATGCTACTATTTACCCCCCACCGCACATGTAAGAGATCTTATCTGTTTGAAATACATGTTTAATATTCAGGGAATATTGCCCTAGTCTAAATAAAATGGTAGTCTCCATTTCCTGTGCCATTCCCCTATATATCCCTTTACTCAGAATCAAAACTTGAACAAAGGGCAAAACGGCAAGCCTGAGGCTACGGCGTCCACGGCAGCGCTGCTGTGGTGATGACTGTGATATGCCTGGTACCCAGAACCCCAGGGATTTTATGGGGACTCTATTTATGTAAGGACTATATTTATGGGGGTTATATAGGGTTATATAGGGTTGTATAGGTGTTTATAGGGTTTAGGGATTATATAAGATTTAGGGGTCTATAATGGGGTCCCCTTATGTTGGGAATCTGCCATTTATATAAAAACTATATAGGGATTACGTAGGGGTTGTATGTCGCTTGTATAAGTACTTTATCTGGTTTATACTGGGACCATCCGGGGATCATATAGGGATTGCATAACAAGGATTACATATGCTCATGGGGAATATGGATCTGAGATGATCTAAGTCATGGCATCCTGAAACTGGCTTCCAGTGTAACTGGTTCTAAGGCAAGCTACTTTTATCTCTGCACTTTTGGACTGCACTTTTGGAAATACAGCTGGCTCAGCTTCAAAGTATAGGGCCTCTTTCTGTGGATCCCAAGATACCACGTGTCGAGACACGCTTGCTTCTACGGCACATCGCGCCTTGATTTGCTTCGAAGGTCTGAGGCTTCAGTGCACCTGCAACTTCAGTCAGCCGCCACGCGAAGCATCTACAATAATTTCTAAACATGGCTGCCACCTTTGGGTCTCTATGCCAAAAGCTTCTCGCCAAGGCTTTGCACTCACGAGCTCTGTAGATATAGCTGTCCCAGGAGATGTGAGGAACAAGTCGACATCTCATCACATTCTTCAGCTTGGATGAGGCATGCGTGCAGCAAACACCAAGCAGCTAGGAGCTAGGACCCCGACTCGCCCGCCAAGTGAGATAAAGACTACTGCACACCATGACATCACTCTTGCTTGGCAGAATCTCGCCATCAGAATGAAGCTTCTCAGCCGCCGGGCCACGCAAAGCTGCTAATTAGTAGTTTCCATGTTCTTTTCCATCATCCCTATATAACCCTTATTATAATACTATAGTTTCCATTTTAATTTCCATTATCCCAACAATAGTCCCCAATATATGCCAGAAGCAGCTGGCAGCACCAAAAAGCTTTCTCGCGCCTGGGGAAGGGGCCCAATGAGTAGATCGGCACGCCCCGCTGTGCATCCTGAGACAATTGAGTCCGCTGAGCCATGTACCCCTGAAAGACATGCCGAGCATGACTCCTTCTCAGTCAGCTAAGGATCTATGGGAGTCCGCCCCAGCTGCTGCACCAGGGAGGCACTACCTTCTTCGCTGGGCCTGCAAAGCACCACTTAAATGTCAGGTGATGCTTGGGTGGAAAGATGGCAAGACGTGGACTTGAATGCAAAAGTACCACTTCGGCATGCCTTGTCTTGCTAGCATCGACATCTGAAGCTTGCCAATCATTGAGCATGGCCATAAGCGATCCAATCACCTCGGATCAACGGAAGACTTGCATTGCAAGTATCACGGCAGGCTTCCACTGAAAAGGGTCACTGAGGCAGTGGTCTCAAGCCACACCTATGCATACTAGTATTTCAGCTGCAGAAGGCACACCTGCAACTTCTGAGCACGAGGGCTCCTGATATGAAAGCTATCGCGGACTTGATCGGGTTTTGATCTTCGCCGTTCTCCTCCAGCATTGCTAACAGGAGCCTTGAGCACGTAAAGTGTTGCAGCTTACAAAAACATGTAACTTTTGGGCAAAGGAGCTGCTAGTGCGTGGGCAAGCCATGCTGAAGCAATATCACTACCAGCCGGGTAAGTGCCGTTGCCTGTCCTCAATCCAAGCGTTTGCGCTCGAAAGTATTCTTGCGAATGATCATTTCATTAGCAGCGATTGCCTAACAGATATGAGAACGAGAAAAACAAAAGGGGAACTTCGAAGTGCTCAAGCGGTTTATGACATGTTCAGGATATCCACGAAAAAATGTGGGCCTGGTGCTCAGCACGAAGGGGCATGCCCGGTCAAACTCCGCGCTGAAGGCAGGTCGCAGTAACACTTTACAACAGTCTCAGCACGTTGTTCATGAGCTAGCTGATTTTTTCACATGCCATAAACTGCGCTTCGATCCATCGTGGAAAAATGCCCATGCCCATGTAAACTAGAGGGTGGCGCCACAAGTCACAACCAGCGGAGCAGGTCCTCCGCTGGTGTGGCGCGTCGCGCCTTGGAGGTCGCGGCTTTGGACAACGATTGCAGGCCAGCAGCCAACATCAGGTCGCTTTTGCCCAAAACTCCATGTTGCATCGCCATGATCGCTTATGGATTGAACAAAGAATCAGCATCCAGCCAAAAGCCATGGAGCTCTGTGCCTGAGTCGTCTGTGTCGCCTCAAGTCACAGACACAGAGCTTGTATGATCTTGTAAGCCACTGATTCCATTAGCTGTGGTCGTTGAGACGACTCGCTGAGATGACGCAGAAACATAGGCCAACTAAACATGCCATCCGCCTCTGACGGACTGCAGCTGCCAGCGGCAGCGCTGCCGCTGTCAACTGCTTGCAGGAGCCTGCCCACGCTTGGTAAGGTGGTCCAGTGAAGTCTGAAAGTAGAATCGAGCTTCTACTCCAATCCTTCGACGTATACCTTTTCAGCATCGCACAGCGGCGTTGCCTTGGGAGCTCCAAGGCCTTCTGTCTGGCCAATGTGGAGCCTTGGCTGCACCACTTTCAATTCAACTGCTGTTTGCAACATGCTGTCAGCAAGTCATGACAATTCAAGACATCCAAATGCCTGAACTTGCCACTGGGATCTTTCAGACCCTGGCCTCATTTGCTCTTGCAGCAGCCTCTGGCGGCAGCTGGTTGCTACAAGTGCAAATATGAACTGTAACGTGACATTCCATCTTCGCCCGCCTTCGCTCCGCGCTGGGCAGCTGCCGATGTTGTGGCGGCCAATGTTAGCATGGCCACCCTCTGCTTGCACTACATAGGGCTCTGTCAATGCTGGTGTCCTGCATGGCTGAAGGCTTTCTCAGTCACCTGTGTGTACAAGAGCCACATGAACATCAACACTTCTAAGACTTCCTCGAATTTGGTGGTCACTAACATGTAGACAATGACAAGCCTACGTGAGATGGGTCCGAAAGAGATCTCTGTTTTCTGAAAAGTTTGAAACGCATGATTACATGCGATTCGATCGTGGGAATAAGTAAGCAAGCTCGAGCTTCGGGAACACTGACAAGTCGGCCTGCAATGGAGCCCCTGACATGAGGGGTGATGAAAACCCCCCACCCATTTAAATGACCCTTAATCCTGCTATCGTTTGTTTTTACTCTTATCGTTTT